GCCAAGTCTGCACAGTGGGGCAACACTCCATCAGGAGTACTCTCCTAGGTAGCCCAGCATTCAAAGTCCGAACCACACAGTCATGTACACAGCAGGCTACTCTTAAAGTATCCTGCTCTGCCAAGTCTTGCCTTTGGTATTTTAAATATTTAACTCATTTAAATACTCTGTAAAGGTTTTATTGTTGATTTTTGTGGCTAATTTTGTTTTGTTTTGTTTTGTTTTTTTGTTTTTCGAGACAGGGTTTCTCTGTGTAGCCCTGGCTGGCCTCGAACTCTCGAACTCAGAAATCCACCTTGTGGCTAATTTTTATTAGTTATTTGTACAAGTTGACAATATTGTACTTCATATACAGTGTACTGAGACGTACATTCACACCTGTATTCTTTTGCCCTCCTCTCACCTCCCTGATCTCTTCTTCCTGTCTAGTCCCATCCTTTTCTTTCCTCACTTGCTCCTGGGGGCGGGGCAGGCAAGCAGTCACAGCTTCTACATCTTCACGATGACAGCATCCACATGCCATTACGTCAGTGCCCCACAGCGCTTCTCCCTATCCTCTGGCTCCCACAGTCCTTTACCATCCGAGATGTTCTCTGGGACTAGGAGGAGGTGACATCAGTGTCCCATTTGGGACCAAATGCTCAGCAGTCACTTACTCTGATCACTTTGGCTGTCACCCATCTCCGAGACGGGCTTCTCCGCTCAAGGCTGAGTGCTGCGCTGATGGCAGTGTAAATGCTGGGAAGCAGGTCCACTGCTGTCCTTTTGGCCACACGTCAGTGGTAGTTCCTGCAGCCCACCCTTGCTACTGTGTGGGTTCTTTTCCTACCGTTTATCCCTCCCACCCCCAGGTTCACCCTATCACTAGATAGCAGAGAAAGAAGAGTAGAGGAGAGAGAACTAGAGATCCCTGAATCTAATTTCTTTCCTTTGGTTTCTGCTTTGGGCATGACAACTAACGATGCTCAGCCACTCTCTCCCCCCAACACCAACAGCCACCCACCCAGCTCTCGGGGTCCTAACCATATACATCCTCTGAAAAGTTCCCAGAATTCCAGACACCACACAATCACAGAAACTATCTGCGGCTGGCAAAACCATGCTTCTTCAAGAGCACAAGGCAAATCATGGTCAGCTGCTGCGGACAGAGTGAAGAAGCCCCACGTCCCCACACCTGGGATTAATGAAAAGCACATTCTTAGAGTATTTCTGTGGTTTTAGAAGAAATCAAAATTCCAGAATTCTCACTACGAATCTCCCTATAGCTCCTGTGACCTCCTTAGCCGCAGGCTTTTGCACAGTTGTACAGCGCTAGGCATATATCCCCTCCCCAGAATGTGTCGCGGATCTGACTGGGAAGCAGTCGTTAACCCAGAACCTTCTTGCCTCTATTGTACCAGTGCCATATCTTCCCTGGCAGTTTGCTATTGTAACACGAGGGGTCTGCTGCTGGATGTGATTGTTGAAGGCTTTTCCTCTCCAGTGGCTTGCATAAGCACCTTCCAGAACATCGGATGCCAGCTAGTGCAGAGAGCGAGCTGCCTGCTGAGTTCCAGCTTTGCTTCTCCGTGTTTGTATCCAGAGCCCGTGGTATCTTCAGCTGTCAGTAGTTCTGGTGGGCAGTCAAGAGCAATGATAATAACCCTGACGGCTTTGGTAGCCTCTGGGGTTTGCTTACCTGACCAACAACCCTTAGGGAGGTATCCTGCTCCTGGCAACAGGATTTGGCTTTGCAAACCTATGACTTGGGAGTGTATTATTGACTTTTCTTAAAAGAGGAAGAAACAAAGGGTGACAAATTTTTAATAGTTTTTTTCTCTCCAGCGACTCATCTGATCCAGTGGTGGCCACACTGCTCTGAAGCCCACTGTTCTAAAGCTCCTCAGTGCTGTCTAGTTTTAGTAGGCTGTCCTGAACATTTTAACTTTATCTTATTAAAGAAGACAGGATCCCTTTCACCCACAATCTCTTAGCTCTGAAGAACTTTGTTACTGAAACATCTTGTTCTGAACTGTGTTCAAGGCCCAGGTTCTGTCAGCCACTTGAAGACAGTGAACAGAGAAAGAGCAGGGAAGTGTCAGAAAGAGACCATTCACTGGGACCCGTGTGGGTGGCATTTATCTTCCTCAGAACTGGCCATTCTGCTGCCCTGTGCCTTCCACAGCACCAGTTAAGTTTTAATTACCTTCAGACTGAGCTGCTGTGTGGAGGACCTCTGAGAGAACGGTGGCTCTCTCCAGTTTCCGGTGCTGCTCCTCACTGCACACCAATGAAGCCCTTGCAGCTCCTGTCCTTGTTACTAGATGAAGTGTGTCACTGTGTGCCATAGAGACAGTGTTGAAAGGAAAAGAGCAAACTGAAAAAAACTCGTTTGCTCTCCAGGGATCCTCATGGCAGAAGAGTGAGATCCACCTCTCTTGCTTAAACGTTAGAATCGTTTTGTTTTGCTTTTCAAAGAGACTTAGAAAACAAAACAAAAAGCATGCACTCCGTCCCAACCCTTTCCTTGAGTTTTCAGTTGCAGCTTCTCACCCACCTTGGGGTACTCCAGTCTCAGCTCAGGAAGGAAGTGAGCCTGTGATCAAGGAAGGCACTTGTGTGCCTCCTCAGTCGTTGCTTAGGGGGCTCTAAGTAAGCAGGCTTCTGGATTCGGAGTGTAGGGCTCCGGGCCATCAAAGCCTGGCCGTTTGTTGAAGCCATGTGCTGTTTCTAGTCTGGCTCCTCAGTGCAGGAGGGAAGGAGCCTGGCTTCTTGTTTATGGTTTTTCATTTCTTGAAGTGTGGGCTTGGGTAAGGACATCAAGCATTGCTGTAAGTTATGCTGATATTGTTCATGCTTAGAAAGCAAGAGGGGTTAGAGCGACCCGGCCTGTGTGCTCACGGGCATGCTGTGTGTCCCGAGAGTGACGTACAGTGATGAATGGCTGGCTTGACCTCGGGATCGTGGGCGGAGATAATGCTGTCTTCATTTATGCGGGGCTTTGACCTGGAAACCTTTCTCTGTGTTCGTATCTATTATTTTGTCTATTGTCACAAACACTGACATTAAAGTTGTAAAATGTATTCCTCTATAGTTTGTCATCAGTTGCTTTTAACTGTGGGGCGAGGGAAGGAAAACTTGCATAATTTTATCTGTTCCTGCCTGGGTAAAATTTGGGAAGCGACTGTAATCTAAACTTGAAAGCTAGACTTCATGTTTTAAAAGGACAGGCAAGACCTGCTCAGTGTCTGCTTAGTCACCAGGAAGAGGAGAGGCCTGTTTGCCACCCGGGCTTTTCTCCTAGCTCTTCTTTGGTAACTTGACCTTGAGAATAGGATCCGATCACATTGCACCAAACTGCCTGCTCTAAGGTTGCAGATGGCAGCACTCAGGCCACCTTGGTCATATGCGGTTGAAAGTGCTATGCTGGTTGAGTTCCTGTGGTTACTGGAAATGACCAAATTTAGATTCAGGCCAAGGTGCCAGGGTCAGCACAACCCTTCCCTTCCAGAAAGCACCTAAGAGACTGTCACTGACAACAGTAAAAGACAACCCAAATCTACTACTCAGAACATTACGGCCTTACTTTAAATGAACTCCCTGGCAAAACCAAAACCTAATCATCTCCGCCCTCTTGTCTGCACTGATGCTGAGGAAAGCCAGGAAACCTTCCTTGTACCTGCAGGGTCCTGGTAGTAGGAGCAGTTGCTGGGTCTCGCAATGGAAGGATGGCATCTCCCTGCAGTAAGTCTAAGCACTCTGAGTAGCTAGTCCAGGAGATGTCGTTAGAATGGGTTCTGAAGATGAGTGATCGGCTCGTGGCAAAGAGCAGATGGCTAAGTGAACTGCACAGGTCACGCCGTGAGGCACGGGCTGGAAGAAACGGAAGAAGATAGGCCATGGTGCAGAAATAGAGTCCCCTTAACTGAACATTTCAAATAGTCCTCTACATTCTCCAGTTAATTCGGAGTGATGAGAGATGTTACAAGATTACGGAATTAATGAACAGCGATTAACTCAGAAGTAAGATTCTATCATCTAAATCGAAGGTTGTTCTACATGCGGAAGGAGGGTATTACTAAAACCTTGCCCAGACTGTCATTTCCTAATTGAAATCTGTTCTCTCATATGCCCCTGTCCCTCAGAGTGCATAGTTCATAATTTAGAAGTGCATCCGTAGTTAATCTAGTTATTTTTTATGGTTTTCCCTCTTGAATTCTCTTTGGAATTGTGTGACACGAAGAAGGGTGAGTGGGTGTCTTCATTAACCTGTGAACTGTCTGTCCTCTCAGAGATAAGGGAGCAAGTTGATCTGAGGTTTAATGCTTGTTTGTGGCAGATGAAGTCTCTAGGGAAATGGACAGGGTGGACAGGCCAAGACACTCCCGACCTGCCCAGTGAAACTGCACACGGTGTGCAGATGGCAGAGCCGTGGGGCCCAGAAGGAGGCTGCAGAGCGGGCTGGGTCCTCTCTACAGGGAAGGCTCCCCAGCAGTCAGGTTGGTGGGGGGTGCTGGCGTAAGTATGTAGGCTTAACTTTCTAGTTGGGACTGAGAGCAATACTGAATAAAAGCTATCCACAGTGCTGATTCTCAGTAGTTTCTATGCATGATTCCTTTGAACAGGGAAGCAGTATTGATTGCGTGCATTTGTCTGCAGTGGATGGACACTCTTGGAGCTGAAAGCATTTGATTTTGCCTGTAGTTTTGCACATGGACTCCTAGCCATGAGGCAAGGTAGAAGCTGGTTGTTACTCTCTAGGGTAAATGTCTCATGGATTTACATTTGTTCTGACATCCAAGGGTTGAACTGAATAGCCCCTGGTGCGGTTCCTAGGTACATCAGATCCAAGTGTTGCTTAATTCCCTGTGAAACGGCATGGCCCTGAGCCGCCCTAGGAGGTTGATTTGAGAGTTTTCTAGGTCCCCTTTACTGTGCCTGACTCCGTGTCCCTTCCTCCCCTGCTGCCCCTGGCTGTGGCCGAGCTCCTTCCAACATCTGTGTTCTCTTTTCTCCCTCAGGTATATTCGAATAGTTGGGACTCACAACACAGTGAACAAGATTTTCCACATCGTGGCTTTTGAATGCATGTTTACAAACAAAGCCTTCACTCTGGAGAAGGGCCTGATAGGTAAGTATTACAATGACCTTGCATATTTACTTAGATACTTTGCCTTCAAGTGTTTTTGTATTCATTCTAATAGTTCTTACTAAGCAGCTCTGATTAAGGACCTTGACTGATTTTTGAACAGCATATGGCTGAGTGACACAGAGAATACTGTTGGTTTGTGGAAGATTTCAAAATAATAAGGCCAGTAAACTTAAGGAAACAAATAGAAGTCTTCTGCTATAGCTAAGCGTTGGAATCATGTTGGGAATTGCTCCGATCTCTTGATGGGCAGGCAAAGGCTTTCACAGCCAAGCCTTGCCTGTATTTAACAGTAGGTAGGGCTGGGGAGGACGTCTGTCTGATGCTGATCAGCTAGCCTTCCAAGGCTTTGATTTGATATGAATGGGATGTATAGCCATGGAAAGGTTCTCATAGACATGTCAGGCCAGGATTCAGTCTGCTTAGTCAAATTACCCTCAAGAAAGTTCCAGTCTACAATCTGAGTGAGACGGAAATGCCGAGCTGCCACTGAGGAAGTGAAGTTACTGAGTGGGAGCTGCCTGCCTTCCCGAAGGGTGTTGTCAGTTCTAGGTCTGGTTGCTTGCTTTATCTGGTGTCAGGCTTTGGCTTTGTTTTAGAGATCCTGCAGTCCGTTGTGTACAATCCATCTCTGGCCTTGGCGATACAAGAGTGACTTCTCCCTCCCAGGCAACGTCCTCCTCTGTCTTCCCATGCCTTTGGCTTGTCCTCCCCTCCTGTGTAGCTCGGCTCACTCGATCCTTGAAGCTGTGCTTTGGCTGTAGCTTTCCTTGAAAAATAACTCACTGGATGTGGGAGTGTGCTTTTGCCTGGCCTTACCTAAAACAGAACTCTGTGTCTCTGAAGGAGGAATCCATTCTCCTGTCCATGTTGGGACGCATGCCCGCATTGACACAGGTCTTCAGAGCCATGGCAGTGACTGTGACAAGGAGGAGGAGTACAACTTACAATGACATGTGAACAGCAGGAGCCTGCAGTCCCCCACGCCCGCTGCAGTTCCCTTTTCACTTACAGAAACAGCCAGACTGGAAAGGTTTCCATTGAGAAAGAAGAGCATGTCAAGAATTTAACTGGAGAATTTGTTTTATTTTTTACTTTATTGTTGATATAATTTAAAAAATGAAGACTAGTGCTATTTTTTGTGACTTTCAAATAATTTGAAAATTGACAAATGTGAAGCCCTGTGTGGTGTCATTTTCTATCTGTGTGGTGTGTAGATTGGGGAGATGTGTGGCCTCACTGCATACAGTCAGTCAGGAGAGGCCTTGCTCAGGAACATCTGAAGAACCAAGGGCCTGCGGACTCAAACCCGTGTGGCATGATTTCATCCCCGAGGACTGCATTTTTACGCATGTTGTTTCCATGTAAATGGTTCCCCTTCCTACTGCAGAAAGAATACATTTGTTGATACTGTAATTAACTAAGAAACAGACCCATCTGACAGAGAAGCCACTAAGAGAATAAAACTCAGTGTTGGTTGTCAAGAGGCACGAAGTCTTGGTCTGCGTGTTCGTCGAAGCTGATCCAGTCAGATGAAGGGAGTAGGCTGCAAATGCAAGAAGGTGTTGTAGTGTCTGATCGCACAGCCCAGGCCCTCTTCTGTGAGGCTTACAGTGTTTACAAGTGTGACTGTAAGGAGCACTACAGTCCCTGCCTGTCATTGTCCCTCAACCAAATAGCAGCAGCAGTGTGGGGCCACAGCTCTGGATGTACACTGACCAGCAGCGGTGGGCTCCACTCTGGACCTCCTGGGTCATCTTTACAGTTCACAGTTGCTCGACTGGGCAGAGAGGGAGGTGTTTGTGTGAAGGAGCTCTGGGCATCTCATTGCCCTGAGTCTGACACTGCAGCTTTGCTTAGCTTACAGAGGGGTTGGAAGTAGTAGTGGACACACTTCCACGTTGGTGATGTCAGATGCAGCATACAGGTCTTAGCCAGCCATCCTGCTGAGGATGCCCAAGGAAGGCGTGGACACTGCTGGGGCCCAGGCAACAGCTCAGATGTACCCAGAGGAGGATTCTTCTAGATGACACCTTGAGAGCCACTCAGTCAACCTGCGATTGTTGTGTTGGGAAAGCAATAGAAAAACAACCAAATAACTGTGACTAGCTGGTAGAATGGCAGTGCCTCCTGCTGTAGATCCAGACTCTGCCTCAGTCCTCTGCCTTCCTTTAACAGGTCAGGGTCTTCTAACTGTTTTTCTGTAGACCTTTAAGATGATTCGAAAACATTTATGTCCGTTAAGATCAGATCTTATGTTAAAACGGATAATGGTGCCAGGAAGCCATCAGCAAGGGGTGGTACCCACTGCGCATTTATTTCATCTTTTTCCATCAAGAGCTTCTTTCCTTTTTGTATTTGTTTTGTTTGGGGGTTGTTTTGGTTTTGTTTGGTTTTATAGACCCCCCCAAACTTATAATCCCCTTGTTTCTGTGTCTCAAATGCTGTGAATGTCAGGGTGTGGCACCACAGCGTGACTTCTGATAACAGGATTCCTCCTCATGCTGCTTCACATGCACAGCAAGAAAGCTGTCAACTTGGTCAGCTTTCTCTGTCCTTGGGTTGTCCCTTGCTGGATCATACCAGCTTACTGCCACCACCACCACCACAGCCCTCCCTGTCTCACTTGGCAAATGCTTGTGGATCCTGCTCGGATTCCTTCTCTCTTGGCAGAGTGGGTCTATGGTGACTGTCACTTCCATGTTAGGAAGAGTTGCAGGAAATTCTAACTTGGTTCACCAGTGAGGCCAGGAAGCAGTAGTTAGAGCAGAAGCAACTACTGTGTCACTAGTTCCTGGTCTCCCGAGCGTGTTGTTGTTGAGTGTTCTTCTTTGTGATCTTTGTGCATGTCTGCCAACAGCTCATTTTACTAGTCTGATTCCACATTCCCTTCCACTCTGATTATCTCAGTATTTACTCACTTGAAGCCTGGAGTCCCGAGCAGTTCTCAGTGAGAACGACTTAGAGCCAGCTTTATCCAGCTACATCTCCTCTCCAGATTGTGATTCTGTGGATGTGGATGTATCATTAGTCTGCGTGGATGTCTGTGCACCGTACGGATACCTGGTGCCCAGAGAGGCCAGTAGAGGACATTATAGATGGTTGTGAGCCACCGTGAGGGTGCTGGGAGTCGAACTCTGGCAGTCCTCTTAACCACTGAGCCATCCTTCCAGCTGTCACTAGCTTATTTTGAAGTCAGTCCCATTTCTTACCATTTCATCTGTAAATATTTCAGTGTGTATCTCTAAAATTCAAGTTGGTATTAGCATTATAATGCCATTATAATTCCGCACAGTTGAATAAGAATTTCTTAAGCTATTAAGTGGTCGGCCAATATTGAAATGTGTCCTAACAGTTTCAATGTCTGCACTGAGGAAATGTGTATTTTGTAAGTTACTCACATCAGAAGTCAGGGGGAGGAAACAGGCCTGGGGTGTGCCTTTGTCACACCTTGCTTGCTCAGCATACATAAGGCCCTGAGTTCCATGCCCAGCACCCCCAAATACTTCAGATAACAGTCCCCTAACCTGCCTTAAAGACCACGTTCTTCTCTGGCAATGGTTTATTAGATGAGGGAAAAGGCTTTTGTCAACAGAGTACCTGACAAGCCTGGATTTTGGTCATTGAACCCCACAGTGTGCTCATCCATTGCTTTCTTGTGACAAGGAAATTAGAAGCCTAGTCAGATTTATGATTAACTTTAGGTAACTCTGCTCCACAAGTACCGTTGTGTGTGCTGTGCCATCATGAAACACAGAAGTTCAGGTTATCTCTCTCTTGGATATTTCTGTTAATTGATGTCTATTCCTTACATCTGCTACTTCATAATTTGGGAGTAGAGAATACTGTTCCAAGTCTGTCTTTTTTGATACCTGGAAAGTGATGGAGAGAGCAGTTCTCTAAGGGTTGGTGATCCTGAGCTGTGCTTTCCCCAGGAAAGTGGGATGACCGTTGTGTCGTTCTCCTTTCTGGGCCAGTTCTCAGTTGAACAGGCAGCTCCTTAGCATCCTCCAAGTGTCAGAGACGTGGGTTCCCAGGCTTTCTTAGGGGAAGTGCTACACATCGTTGCACACAGATAACGTTTTCATTGTTGTATCTGTGTCAGGTGTGTGTGCATGTGTACATGTGTGCGTGCTTGTGGTATATAGGCCAGAGGTCAACTGCTGTATGTCTTCCTCTGTCCCTCTCCACCTTGGTTTTTGAGGTAGGTCTCTCACTTCAGCTGTAGCTCATCGACTGGCCTGACTGGTTGTCCAGCAAGTACTGGGGGCCCGCTTGTCTATGCTTCCATCTGTGAGTTACAGCAGCGCATTGTCCTGGCCAGCTTCTTCCACGGAGATCTAACTCAGGTCCTCATAATAGCATGTGAGTACTTTAGCTACAGAGCCATCACCCTAGCCATGGAACTTGAAAAAATAAACAAACCAAGAAAAACTATCATTGGTCTTCAGACAACCTCATCTTAGACCAGTGCTTGGGACTTGCTGATGTAACTCAGCATTTCTGAGTATCTCTTAGATTTGCAGCATGACACAATTCACCTGGGTCCTCTTGTACCATTCATGCCCTTGGTCTGAAACCAGCCATTTCTTTAAGAAACCATCATTTTGTTTTGAGAGAGGTAAGATTTGAAAACATAGTGTATGCACAATAGATGGTGCTTGCTACTGTCTTTATTTTTGTTTGCACAAGTAGGAAATGAGTGCTCATAGCCTTGTTATATATCCTATGTATAACAGGTAAAATGTATCATGGATATGCCCTGAAACTTCTAATTCAAATTCAGTTTGACCTTTTTGTCTGTCTTCTACCTCCTTTTCTCCATATTAAGCCTTAGTTACCACTGATACAACACATTAATTCATCCACTCTGTTCCTTTTAATACAAAACAGTCTTAGAATAACAGTACCAGTGCTGTCATGGGCCTTGTCATTACTGAAAATGGTGTAAGATTTTTTACAGTCATTTATCGTGTTCTAGG